TTTTTGGAATTGCCCTGAGTGATGCACTGAGTAAAAGCCTGACTTACAGTATAGATGGAAAGCTCTTTTGTAGGCAAGTTCAAATCCCAGCTGTGCCATTCGCCATCCTTGGTCAGGGGTCCCTGAGAACAAACTGACAGCAGTTCTCATCAGAGGACAAGACGGAGGTGTCCTTGCCTCCTCTGGTGCAAAGCGATGCATGAGGCCAGTGGCCATGTGTGTAGTACGTTTAGTCTTCTCAACACTGTGTGCTGACTGATGGCACGGAATCCAGAATCAGTCATCTAGACCACAGGAAATAATTTGGTAAAACATTCTGGAATTGTTTTAAACAATCATGTTATGATTGATATAGACATTTGTCAACACATGACTATTTATAAATTAACTAATAAACAAATGTTTCTCATGGGTGCCTGTTCCAAAAGCCAGTGTGCAGTGTAGGTTGGCTGTATTTTTAGACCGCTTTGTCACTGAAGACTGTTCTAGTCTGTTCTAGTTGGATCCTTCAAATACAGCCATGAAATGCATGGTACATTCTGACTGGTTTTGAGGACACTACTGGAGTATACTTCACTGTCACCCATAAAGTTCCGGCAGATGAAACCAACATATACTTGGACATAATACTAACAGGAGAAAACTTTATAAATGTTTCTGTATCAGCACTGGCAGACAGGTACATTAAACATGTTGGATATTGGTATTGACCTGAAATTCCTAATGTTTGTAGGCACTTTTTCTTCCAATATTTCTTCTGAAATCAAGGGTGTTAATTTTTTTTGTCCCCCTTTGCTGCACTAACAGTCTCTACTCTTCTGAGAAGGCTTTACACTAGATGTTGAAGCATTGCTTGGAGGATTTGATTGCAATTAGAGTATTAGTGAGGACAGGTACTGATGTTGGATGACTAGTTCTGGATCACAAACACCACACCAACTCATCCCAAAACAATTGGATGGAGCGATATCACTGCAGATTCCACAGTTCAGTGTTGGGGGTATTCAAACCAACACTTGGCACTGAGCACTGTGCGGCTGCTCCAAGCTCCCATTCCACTGGCAGTGCTTTTCAATGGAGATCATGTCTGAATTCTTTTGCATATATAGTGTATATAACATGCACAAAGATCAGATGTAAAAGATTTATCATACAGCTGTTTTCTTCAAGTTATTATGGACAATTACTAGCTGTAGAACCAAAGGCCTTTTAAGAAATTCCCCTAAAGACGCATGGAATACTGACAACATTCTCGAACATTCTCAGACACATGCGGCTTAAGGTAAAGAGCGAGCTTTCGCAGCCCATTATAAAGTGACCACAGAAGCAGAGAGGACAGTGTAAGAGACTAGCGTGTGTTTGTGCATGTTCATGGGGTCTCTGCAGGGTGGGCCACTTTGTTAAAATCGAGCCTAATAGCAGTAGACCCACAGAGAGGGTGATAGAGTCATAAACAATGATGAAAGACTGAGTGGTGGAGAAAGAGAGGTGAAATGTAAAGAGAGTAGAGGAGGGGGAGAGGCTGTCAGGAGCAATGTGTCTTTCACTGCTAATGAGCACTGAAGGCAAGAGAAACACACACACACTGACAACAGACTTGAAAACATCGCTAAACTGTCTCTTTGTCATTCTATCTCTCTCTAACCCCGCACACCTCTCTGTCATTCTTTCTCGCTGTCTCTTGTTCCTGGCCTCTCTCTTCCACCCTCGTCCACTCTCCGTCATCCTGATCCTTTCACTTTATCTCACCCTTTCAACCTTTCTGATATCCTCTCTTTGCATACCATCAAATTCTTTTCTAACTCTTGGATATAGTACTGTATGAAAAAAATTTCAGTGGGTGTGTGCAAAGTTAAAGGATAATTCTGCATTCACCTGAATTAAGGTGGTGTGTTGGTAAGCAGAGATGGTTTAACCTGGAGAGATGAGCCTCATTTCAGTATAGCTGGTGGACTGCAGTGTGCAGCCGGTGGGCTCCTGGGGGAACGGCAGTGAAGCGAGAGGCGGGTTAAGAAGGAGAGGTGGAAACAGAGAGAAAAGCCTGCTGGATTTTTTGTTGGAAGGGAAATCCTGTGCGATGGGCAAACAAATCCTACCTGCAATTTCCAGCACTGATACTTAAAAAAAGACAGATTGGCAGTTATAGATGAAATATAAATGTAGTTATAATTCACATCTAAAATATGATTTGTTACTGGTTACACATAAACATCTCAAACTGTAAAATACAAATATGGATAAGGTTGAGACTCATACTGCATTCATACACAGTCCACACTAAAATGGTTCTATATAGTACCAAAAAAGGTTCTATGACTTGTAGCAATAGGGGAACCACTTTCGGTGCTATATAGGACCATTTTAAAACCATATACAGCAGTTTTCCATCAGAATCATTTATGCATTCATATGGTTCTTGGAGGGTTCATGGTTATACGTAACCACTGGGAAAACCCATTTTCAATAGTGTAGGTTTATAGATGCAGGTTTTGTTCATATAGGCTCTGTTTAATGTGGTTTAAAACAGCAGTGGTGTAAAACGGACTGCACTTCAGTTAAATTTGAGCTGACCTCATTGACGCCCACGGCTAAAATCCGGTTAAAAGAAACTACACACAGTTCTCTACCCCCTTTCGTGACTCCTATAGTTATATTTGATGACGGTGGTCTCAGTGGAGCTTGGTCAGTTTGCCGTAAGCGCTAACAGGTCAGCGCAGCGCGCGAGGAGAAGCGCGAGGGGGGCGGGGGAGCGCGAGGCACCGCGAGACGCAACCAGCTCCTCTCACAGATCACACAAGTGAGAAAACTGTTGCTTCTCTGAACCGTTACAGCAAACAATACGGCTGTTTCTTTAAAAAAACTAGCTCAGACATTAATTTAGCAGATGATAGACATTAACAGGACCATCCTCTCGTAGGCGGCTGTCCTTCGGTTTGTTAACAACAGACTACTAAGTAGTTTTAGTAGCCTAGCCAGCCGGAGCGAAGAAGTAAAGGAAAGGTGGAAACCTAAAGGTTTGTGAAAAAAGCGGGAAAGATGGACTTACTTTTCTGGTGAAGACGACTGAAGCCAAGGAGCTGGAGAGAGAGCGAGAGAGAGGGAGAGAGAGAGAGAGAGAGAGAGAGAGAGGGAGAGAGAGAGAGAGGGAGAGAGAGAGACTTGTCCAGGCGAGCCTGAGGGAATCAGAGAGAAGGACCGGAGCAGCAGGATTTACTCACCGAATCACAGGGCTGAAGGTAAGCAAAGCTGGGGTTCAGCACTGAAACACGGCGGGAGCTCCTAACTTGTCACTAATTGGCCAACTGCTGTTTAAAGAGTCTTACTTAATGTTTTAAACGCTGCTCGTTTGTTCGAAGCCAACTTAGCCTGCAGGTGAAGCGCTGAGGATGAACAACGCGATGATAAAATAATAACGAAGACTAGACTGTCGTTGTTCACTGCAGAACTGAAAAACCCCAGACAGCGCTAACTCGTTATGTGGAAAAAGTTATTGTTTTATACCCAAAAAGCTCTGTAGTAAACTAACACTAGTTGCTTTTCAGGAAACGTGAGTAGTGCCCATTATGAAAAGATCAACGGTAATACTGCAAGAGTTTAAGAATCTACAAGAGTCTTATTAAATGTAGATAATTACATTAGTTTACTACAGAGTGCTACACGTGTTGTACATCACTATAAAATAGTACTGTAGACAATTTTGTGAAGAAGGAAATGTTATACAGGATTATAGAAGCATTGCACACCATACAGCATTATAAACCTTGACATTTGTTATGGTTTTAATATAGGTCTTTTTTATTAGGTGCTTTGCTAGAAAGTCAGTTTACATTAATGCTTTCATTTAGTACAGCCAGAGCAAGGCTCATTTCTAGGCCTGTCAAATATCTCATTAATCTGTAGATAATATTGTGTCATTAACAGAAATACTTTGCACTCTTTGCTTTTTTACATTCTATGTCAGCAGAATCATTGAAATCCTTTTCAAAGTGTTATTTTTCTGCTTATTAATTGTATTCAACTTAGGAGGACAATAGCGATGTCTAAGGCAGCTGTTCTGGGAACCTAAAGGACTCTGACGGTTAGTGATCTGAAAATGAAGACCCGCGGGGACTGAAACCCTGTAAGCCTGATTTTACATTCACATTCCTGCATCTTCCTTCCTTCTCTCTGCAATCCAGATACCGCAGCAGAGGAAATGGACATGTATCTTGGATGTAAGATTGGTGCAAAAAGTAACCAAATTTATTGAATGGGCATAAGGTTTTTCTTGCTGGGAAAAATCAGAAACAGAAAAACAAAGAAAACAGTGAGGTTTTCAGAGGAAGAAAATGAAAGATTATTTCAGAGCTGCAGTGGACATGGACTCTGCAGACACATGGAGCTTCTGTGAACCAGAGGAATTAAACGTAAAAATAATGGAAAGCTACACTGTTATCAACTCTCCACATCTATAGAACTACATTACTGGCAGGCTACAACTTCCCATACCAGAAATACGCCTCCACATCACAACGTAGGATTGCCATTAAAGGACAAACATTCTGACGCACGGAACCGCTCCCCCATGTTTCTCTTTTCAGTCGTGAATTAATCCGACCACAGGCTGTCTCCAAGAGTTACAGGTGATGTCATTTGGGTTTGAGGCCTACATTTCTCTATAAACACAAAAGAGACAAACTTAACATTCAGAAAAGCAACTCTTCATATCTGTGAAGCTCAAACAGGAGAGAGGCAGAAGCAGATTTTTCACTGAGGATATTGTATTTATTTACATACCTGAAGAAAACTGGCTTGTTCTGAACACCTCTAGAAGTTTCTTCTCACCTTTTTGCCCCTTTTTCAGTATCCCCCCAGTTCCCCCTTTCTCTCACCCTAGTCCTCTCTTTTTCCCAGAGTTCATTCTGGCCGGTCCAGTGACCTCTAAAGGAGAGGAGGACTTCCTCTCACTGGCGGCCTCCCGCCTTAGCCGCAGGAAGCGTGTCATTGGCGCTGCAGTGGGTGTGGCCATGGTGCTCGTACTTCTGGTTGCTATCCCACTGTTGGTTCACAGCACTAAGCTGGGTGGAGCCGGGGGTGGAGGGACACATTATGAAATGCTTGGCAGTTGTAAGATGGTGTGTGACTCCCTCACGCCCACAAACGAACTCACGCCTGTTTCCCCGCCTCCACAAGACGTCCCAGGACGCAGAGGGGGAGGGAGGTCTGGTTTCCGAGGTAACCCGGGGCTCCCAGGGCCACCAGGTCCACGAGGGCCCCCTGGAGAGCCAGGCAAACCAGGTCCCCCTGGTCCCCCAGGTCCGGGCCCAGGAGGATATGTCCCTTCATACAGCCCCAAAATAGCTTTCTATGCTGGCCTGCGCAAGCAGCATGAAGGCAGTGAGATCCTCAAGTTTGATGATGTGGTGACCAACGTGGGGAATTATTATGAGCCCACTACAGGCAAGTTCACCTGTCCTTTGCCTGGAATCTACTACTTCACCTACCACGTCCTCATGAGGGGAGGTGATGGAACCAGCATGTGGGCAGATCTCAAAAAGAATGGACAGGTAGGAGATGGCTGTGTGTGTCTTTGTGTTTCTGTAAGACTTAAGAGCTGGATACATCATGTAAAATGTAACTGTATTAGCAGCCTTCCTCCAGATCCAAATCTTCAGAGTTTAACCCATTCACTTGGAGATGTCAAGCTATATATATATATATTTTACACCATGGCTTGGTCCATTCATCATGAAATTTTTACACGTTGTATAGAACAGCCATTGTTTTCATATGATGCAGAAAACTAAAAATTGACAAAAATGGAGATACATGTTTTTCTTTGGACGGCAACAATATAATATATATAGTAACTAACTACAAAACAGCTGAAAACCATGAGGGTAGAAGGGTATTCATTTGGAGCTTGAAGTAGAGACCCACAACGAGAGGCCTCTCGTGTATCAGAAGTCAAGTTTACACAACAAATTAATATATTAATTAGAGGTTTAGAATTGTTGCATTTTGTCTGATACATATTGTGATACATATCATGTATCATGAAAATGTTTTTATGTGTCGTGATATGATATTTTTGCCATATCGCCAACCCCTAATAATAATAAAGTAGAGGATCAGAAAGTGAGCTAGCCTTAACTGAAGTTTGATTTGACTGGCATACAGGCTGAATTTCAGATTGTTGTTCACTGAGATGAGATTAAGGAATGGATTTAACATTCAAATAAGATCTGGTAAAGCAGCCTTTCAATAATTCAACAGCCATTTTCTCAACATGTCGTTCCAGACTTTGCTGAAGTTACTGAGAGAGAGAGAGAGAGAGAGAGAGACAGAGAGGGAGTAACTGGAAGCCTATTTTACTTTTTTGGTTACATATATTTAAATGTTTTAAATGGCAGTGTGATGTGATGATGTCTGCATCTTGTTATTAATAGCTTTAAACTACAGACCTGTAATTCAGTTATTAATCTTCAGATGTAATGACACCATTCAAAAGGATTCTTTTCAAGGGTTCTTTAGAAGAGACAATGGTTATATAGAGAACCATGACAACACAAACACATGTTCAAAAGGTTTTTCTATGTGTCTCTTTAACCCCTGAACATTCCAGGGTTATTACACACTTATGCTTATTATTCATTAACTACAAGGACTTCAATGCAAACTAATGGAGCTTTTCTTAGGTTATAGAAGTGTGTTATTATAACCTTCTACAACGGCAGGCCCACGGCTTGGTATGGGTTTAAAGAACCTTTAAAAAAGTGTCTCTGTATAACAGTAAAAAGTGTCTAGACTCTTTTTGCTAAGAGGGCACTATAAAGTATTGTGAACTAGGTTTTGTAGAAAAAGAAGAAAAAAAAGAACATCTTCCATTATACATACATTCTCTCTCTCTGTCTCTTTGTCTCTCTGTCCCTCTCTCTGGAGTGGAGTGGAACGAAATGCAACAGCTGGAGGCAGTCCTCATAGGACCCCAGGATTTTTGAATAAGCGAATAAGAAAAGAGAGTGAACAAACTAGCAGAAGAAAATACAAGTCTCCATCTGGTGAAACATGACATGGATCGGGGACTCAGTTGCTCTCAACTCAACCGTTCAGTTTTGATTTGAGTCACAGAACAGAGGAGAGAAAAGCAGGGATTATCCAAAGAGAGATGAAAAATTCCCTTGTTAATGTGTGTTTACGCACACACTTTGTCACAAGCACACATACACACCTGCACACACGTGCATGCACACACACATACACACGCACTTTTGTCTCCTCTGGTTCCAGATGCCGGTTGTAAGATGAAAGGCAGCTCTGAAGACCCTTGGGATCCTCCGCAATAACGTGTCAATAAGCCTTTATTGCAGTGTAATTAGCTGAACATAGCATCAGTTATTAGTGATTAAAGGTGAAGGGAGTAGAAAGGGGGTAGGGGTGGTGCATAAACTGTATAATCTGCCATTTTTACATTGAACATTTAAGAATTTCACAAGAAACAGACCAGATGAGGGGCTCTAAACTGTTAAAATTCTAACCGTTCTAACCAAATTGGTGGGTTTCTCAAAGCTCATTCAACATTAGTGTTACATCCTGCATATTCAAAACTGGCCACTAGATACTGTCTGAATATGTTGTCTCTAAAATCGTGTAACTTGAGCAATGTTATTTTTTCTCTTTTTTTTACACTATTTGAAAGCTGCATTGCTACTTTATGTGTGAACAGTTAATGATGAAGGGACAAAAAGAATTTGTGAAAAGCAAACCTTAAGGTACATAAACAGACATTAACCTATGTTTTATTACTTCTCTGGAAAAGTTACTGTTTTAGTGATGTGAGGATTTCTTACATCAGCAGTGATTTGCTGGTGTATTTCAGAACAGTCCACTTGGTATGACAGTATGATTTGGGTTTGAGAAAAAGTTGAAAGTTGAAGTTGTTGTGATGGTAAATAGGCTTGAGAGCTATACGCAAAGAAAACTGAAATCCATTTTTGTGGTTTCCAGCTTGACCCAGTATAGGAAACTTTTTGGGTGGCGCGTGTTTTACTCACGCGAGCCATGCTGAGCTACAGTGGAAGGCCAGGGATATTTGAACTTGCTGACTCATAATCTTATTTCTTTGGTGTACCGCAGTGGCATTTGAGCTTGGACTGTATAGATGCACTACACCACTTACACTACACCACAGCTCATAGCACCACAACTGACAAATTTCTCAGGTGATTTAATTGCTGTGCTAGGATCGTTTCAACGGCAAACAACCATAAGAGCCATACGAATAACAATAAGATATTGCACAGCAAAATCCCCAATGTTTAATTAGTGTACAGTGTTTGTTTGTGTCCAGCTGAGTATTGAAGGTCATTTTACTTAATATTGCAGATGTGGCACCATCTAATACTTTTATTTTTACAAATATACGCTGCTAAAATAAAATCCCACAATATGATGAATAGGGGAAAGAGATATTAATATACCAACTGCATTTAAGTCATTTTGTCTAACAGTAATTCAAAATACAGTGCAATTAATTGTGGCTCACAGTGTTTTTACATAGGGCTAACTAGCAGCCAATCAGCTGTCTGTAATTACCATAAAAATACATGGTAGTTTTCTACAGTACAGAATTTATCAGTAATATATTATTCTGGTAGAGGTCCTTTTAACATCTGCCATTTTTCTCTTTGAATCTTCTTCCTAGAGGAGTAATAGAATGGCTCCCGTGATGCTCATACAACACAACCGTTTTATTGCAGAATATAGAGCGCACACACACAGAGAGCCACGTATTACAGGCCACAGCCAGGCTGTTCATTGATCTAACACTGGCTCTATTAAGAGTAAAGAGACAGTGAGGGTGTGTGAGCTAGAGAAATGGAATAGAGGGGAGTGCAGGTTTACCTGGCTTATTGCATGCTGTGATGTATTGTCATTCTAGTGCTTTCCTCTTCTGTTAAATCATTCATGCCTTTAAGATGAGATTCCCCTTTTCCACCTGTGACACACGCACATCACTGCATGTCCATCTGTGGCCTCATTAATTATCTTTCTGTTTAGCTAAATTATTTAACCCCTCTCAAGGTCCTCGCAAATAGCCTCCATTTGGGAAGAGAACACTCATACACTCAAACACACACACATACATGGGTTGCAGAATATGGATAAAATACTAGTGTTATGATTGTATTGCTACATATTGTGATTATGTGGCTTGTAATTCATCAGTGGTGTTGAAACAATAATCAATAATACGACATTGTCAAGAATGTAAGTTTGGCCTGCATTATTTTCGCCTAAAATAATTTACTTTTGCTGCAGTACATAAACACCATTCATCAAAACACCTACAGAAACGCTAAACTAAACACTAATTAGCGCAGGGGTGCCAAAATATACTTACAAAACATAGGTCTAAAAGCAAAATAAGAATTTGATAAGTTATGAAATATGAAAGTATATTTGGTCTCTCACTAGGTGTTGGGGTGGTGTTAGGATAATTTTCTGGCAGGCCAAATCAAAGTATTGCTGGACCAAATTTGGCCTATGGGCCACACTTCAGGCAGCCCTGGGGTAGAGAACTCATCTCCATATTGCGGTCTTGTGTGATTTCAGTATTGCAAAGATCAATATCACATCATTATCAATAAAAATAAAACCGATATATTGTGCAGCACTCACACACATACATAGACTCAAACAGACCACCCCAGCTTGTGGTGTACAGTGGGAGGGAAGAAGATTTGTGTGGGATGATGGAGAGATGAGCGGAGGAGAGGAAGATGGATGGCTAATCAGAGGAGAGCAGACAGAGAGGTCGAGAGAGAGAGTTGCAGCGAGGCCAGAGGCACAGACACCATCAGATCAGTATAAGTAAGATAGATGAGCAGGAATGGTGGGGGGAGGAGGGGGAAAAGTGAGCGAGAGTAAATGTCTGCTGACCTTATCACAGGTCATACAATTTTATAACTGATACTATGAACAGAATTACCATTACCATTAGGATACACATCGCCCAATGTGAGCAAAGACACTGTGATAAATTATTAGCTCCACATCTTTGTAAGAAAACCTTGCATCTTTGAAATCTTTACAGGAGAAGGAAGAACGTTCTTAACTTTAATACTCCTTAATGTAACAAAATATTATTCTAAGTAGCTTTGGGTCATTTCTATTGGTCCATTTAACGTGAAATGCTCACGTAATGTAAAAGGGCACCTGGCGTTTTTCAAATGGTGTAAATAAAATGCAGGGGAGGATTTTAGGTTTCAGAATGATAGCGATGATACACCTTTGCTGATGAGTAAACAGTATTTCCAGATTAAGGTGGTACAGGGCAGAAGATTTAAATTGATGTAAAATAGCATTTGATCATTTAACCCATTTATTTCGTGTTGCATTGGTTTATTCAAAGTTTTTATTTGAGTTGAAAATGTCCTATTAATGTGCCAGTTACCATCTTATTATTTGCTTGTTTTTTGGGTTGAACTGATAAACAATTTTTTACTATGTAATTTACACCCTAAACTTAGTGCATATCTCCAAATTCTGTGTAAAATCAGAGTTT